GGTAAGAGGCATTAACAGTAAATATTGGGGAGACTAAAGCAAAAAAGAAATATTTAAACGTAGTAGGCGGAGCTGGGAACTTGTCCACTAATTCGGGAAAACAATTTGGTATCCAAAAGAAGTTAAAGTGATTCCAATTCATAACTGATTTCATTCTGTATTTGCAATGACATTATTGTAATTGCCTAAGACATGTTTTCTTGTCTTTAAGCTAAGTTTAGAAGTTAAGTGGTCTATTCTTATTTCAAGTAAATCTATTATCTTCTTCCCTCCAGTTGTCCTTTTGGAAGTCTGGTCTGTTATCTCTGCCAGTCTGGTTTGTTATCCCCATACCACTAACCAACTTTGCAGGCAGACACAATTTATCACCAACAAAATGGTAGGAGAGGTGGTTGATAACCCTGCTTACTCCATCCCCAGACAAACATACTGTTTTTCACATCTATGATGCTTTCATTCAATGATCACTTAATAAACTGGTTCTGCTTGGAACTTGGTGCCTCAATTTACCCTTAATTTACACCATGACAGTATTATGCAGGAAATTTAAATAGATTGTCTAAAATGTTTTTTATTTAAAAAAAACAAAACAAAACAAAAACCCCCACAACTAAATGGTGGTTATGGGTAGTATTATCAGGAAAAAAATTAGGATAGAAAATAAAAAAAGGATCTATAATTATTTTGAAGGAGAAAATGATAAACATTTATCTTGTTTACTAGTTACCATTTCTCTTAGTCACTGGGACATACAAAGGGATATAAACATAAATGTAATATAATTAATAATATAAAACTAGGAGTATTATGCACACATTTTAGTTAGCTCCTTGTGAGTTTCTGTATACTAATTTAATTCATGATTGATCATTCTCTTTTCGCACTAACACAAACAGTAAATGTATCTTAAGTAAGGCTTCCATCATGCCACAGGATACCAAGGCTTCACCACCTGCGTCACAGCTGGCCAGGTGATACAAGAAGGAAAAAAGAGCAGTGGCAAATTGGTGAGGGTAAGGTTCCATTGAAGGATCTATAAAAGAGAGAAATGGAAAACTCATCATTCTAAATAAAAGCTGCAGAGTTTAGATAACACATCTTGTCAGATAAAGTGGAGAAAATAACTGCCTTTGAATGAATTATTAATTATTATAATTATTAATCTTACCAATCATGGCTTGGATACAGTTTCGAACAAGTACAGGTAAAAATCCATAATAGGAGGCAGTTCCACTGCAGTCAATAATACTGCTAAGTTTGGGAGTCCTTTCCAAGTGTACAATTGATGTTAATGTCCTTAAGGATGCTGCCTTAATATCCTATGAGAGCAAAGAGTTACACAACTCAACCCTAATTCTACCAACTACAAAATTTTCTTGAATATTTAAGTAATTAATATAAATTTGTTCAGAGCAAAATCATGGTATTTGCATCAAACTGGAATTCTCACACTTGTAACAATCTTCACAATATTTATTTTAATATATTTCAAAGATAATATTGAAAAGGAGACGATTCTGTTCAATTCAAGGAAACAACAGCTTTGATCATCTATTTCTGTGATTGATTGTGATGCTAAATGACTGATTTAGCTTCCTTACTATCGTGTGATCCCGGAAATTTTTACAAATGAAACTTCTGAGAGGCAAGTCCCACAAATTAAATTAACAATAAAAGCCTACCATCAGATGCTTATCTGTTATTTGAAGGACATCTACCAACTCTTCTATTAAGCCATTATACAGGATACTATTTGCTGATTCTTGTAAGGCATTTGAATACACTGAAAGGAAAAGAATCAAAGAATTGGTCATGGACTAAACTGACTTCTGACAACTTTAAATAACTGGTGAAGTCATATACATGAAGTAATACATGAAATATAACATACAAATCGATAAGATAAGAAAGCCCTAGAATTAAGCCAATAAGCAAATTAAGACAAGAATAAAAAAAGGTGAAGGATTAATTTTTGAAGTGATATGGGATATTGATGATTACTGAACAAAATGAAAATTCTGCTCTTTGAATCAAAAATTATTTTTTACAACATTACTGAATATTGATTCACTTAGTCAATACACATTTATTAAATGTACTAGGTTAAAAGGCAAAGGAAAAAATAAATCTTACTGACTGACCAACTTCTTCTTATTTCTTTATAAGCAAGATCATCTTCCCTCTCAGCCATACTCTTGAATGTAGCAAAGGCCATAAGCTTTATTGTCACAAAAGCTTGGTAACATGCCTGAAGTCAAATCCACTTTCAGATATCAACACTAACTATGTGACCCCTGCCTAAGTCACTTAGCTTTGATTTGCCTTAGTTCCCAGTTTCAGCAAGATGAAACTAAGGGAAATAAGTGACTGAATTAGTCACTGTCTGCCATAATTAAAGAATTTTTTTCTCTTACCTAATATGGAAATTGCATGTAGTCTTGCCTGAACAGCCTGCAGTCTCTTCTTGTGATTAGAAAAACTATGGGCCAGCCGTATATGTGTAAACAACAGCATCTGTGATAGGAACAAAATATATTCTGATTTTCTGCTTTATTATAAAATGACAGATACTTTCCTGGGATGCCCTTTACTGCTCATTTTCCCTTTCATGCCCACTGGGATGGAGATCCACAATTGTGAGATTCTGCTGTTTTCAGTCATATCCAATTCTTTATGACCCCATTTGGGTTTTCTTGGGAAAGGTACTGTAGTGATTTGCTATTTCCTTTTCCAGTGTATTTTACAGATGAGGGAATTGAGGCAAACTGGGATAAGTGACTTGTCTAGGGTCACACACCTCCTAAGTGTCTGAGCCCATATTTGAACTCAAGATGATTCTTTTCCTGATTTTATAATGTATGACCCCACCTAACATTAAAAGAGTCAATAATCTTACTATCCAGATGGGATGAGAAATAAAGGGATTATGGGGGAAAAGCTGATGCTTATGGTTGATTCTGTTCATTTTTACTACTTAAACATTTCCTAAACAAAAATCTCATCAGAAATTCCCTCCCTCATCCCCAATCTGTAAATAGGCAATACCTGCTTATCTTTTGGAATGCTGTATATTTTGGTAAGAGATTCCACGATTTCAGAAGAACTTTCTGAAATCTGCATCAGAGAGCAAGACAATGGTTAGAAAAGAAGCAGGAAAAAGGCATCTGACAACTGGGTTTTCAATACTCACTGTTTTAAGTTTTTACTTACTTTGTCAAGCTGCTCTATGTGAATGTAATGTAGTGTGTTACTGGCAGTCTAAAAAAGAAAGATCAAAAGAAGAGAGGTATAAAGATATGATAGGGGGATACCTCTGTAGTCAGAAATCAATTTGTCTGGACTACGAGCACTTAGTTAACTCAGAAGTTCTTGTTTTGTGATGTAGTCACTACGAATAATTATATTTGATAAAGATAAGTTATTATTTTTGGCTATGTCAGCATATATATGAGAAAGGGTTAGGGTTGGATTCAGGAACCATAAAAACCTAGAATCAAAGAGATGAGATTTTATTTTATGAAAGCAAACACATAAATGAACCTTATTTAAGACACTTATTTGAATTTTGACCCTAATGAGAACCTTAGATTCAAGATACTCCACATGCAGGGTAAAGTCTCTTGAGTTCCAGCTACAGTGGCTGAGAAACCTGACACATATGGGAATCAATCATTCAAATAGAGGTATTTCTCACAGCTTGCCCTGTTAACTGACAGTTGTAGACTCTACTAAAACAATTTTGTATAAGACTCACCCTTTTTTCAACTCTGACCTCGGCCCCTGGATCTGCATAGAACTCAAAGTGTAGTGTACTTGCACTGGGTGGGTATTTTTGTGTATAAAGCACAGCACAGAATCAGATATTGTACTTGGATTGTATTGCATATGACAAAGACATACTTCCCTCTCAATCATGAAATTTAGCCCCTTTCCCCATCTGGCAAACCCAGAATTTTCAGTCTTTCCTGATAACTGAGACTCACACAGCAAAAGCAGAAAAAAAATGTGAAACTAATTAAGTTTTTGTGTAAAAGGATTCAAATGTCTTTACTCCTACATTTTAGGACCACAGACTAATACATATTATATTTTTCACTTT